CTTCTAATAAGTCTTCCTACCAATATGACCTTGTTACGCAAACAAGGTTTAACAACCTCTATAGAGTTTATAGTTGAATTTTTACGAAGGGATACGAGCAGCCTCTTAATGTTATTGAAGATAACCTAGCCTAGTCTCCCTAAAGGTAGTCTCATACAGGGTGTTGACTTCTCTTTCAAATCCGTCTTGACCCATCCGTACTTCTAACCGTAGGTGGGAGTCAAAATGCGATTTGTCAGGCTTAGCGTTTATTTTTAGTAATTCCTGAATTATAACGCAGTGATAATAATAGCCTTGCAATGAAATTTTACCACGACGTCAAGCTTTAACTTTTATATGGAAGGCAGATGGATCTTAAACTCGTTCTAATTTGCAGTTCATTCTGAATATGAAGACCTTTTGGAAAGCAAATTTAAGTAAAAATTTGTAGTAGAGTAAATTCTACAACCATCCTCTTTAAGTCTTTAAATAAACATACATATTTCAAAATATTTTATCAAAAATTTTATTGTGCACTCGTTACTAAAAAGCAAGTATTTTAACAAAAATTGCTCGTATCTTCTTAAAAAATAGTTTTTTATTATTCGAAAATGGATTGCGATTTTTGAATTTTTAGAGTTATTGATATTTATTTTTTACGCTTGGTTTTGTCGACATAGAATTAGGGCTCTAAAATACTCCGCCATTTTCGCATAGCATCTTCCCCATGCCTGTCTCTAAGCGTGATAAGAAAGGTAGCCCTTTTATTCTAATTTTCCTAGTCGATCTAACCAAAGTAAAAAAGAAGAAATTAGATAAAAATAAGTTCGTTTCCAAGGTATTTTATTGTGGTAATTATGCCAGCTGCGTGAACAATTTGATCAGTACAAAGCTATCTATGTTTTAAGGATACAAAATCCTCGTAATGACAAAATTTCTCATCTTCGTGCTGAGTTGATTGACAGCAAGTATGCACCTATCTCTAGCACTCCTAGCCCTTTTTATTTGAAAAAATCTACCTTAATTTTATTTAAGGTTGATACATGGAAGAAATACATTAATCTCTATAGCCCTCGGAATCAATAAATCATCAGAATATAAACCTGGAATGCACAAGCTAGTCAAGTTCATAAAGCATCAGTGCTGTATATTGTTAACCAACTGTTCTTACATTGATCTTCGTAATACTTTCAATGCACTTAGGGCACAAGATTTCGCTAGACCCGGCTTACCTGCATCACAGAAGGTAAATCATTTATAGGTCCTTCGATATCCGAGAGCTTACATCATTTTATTGTATTTGACTTCCTCATCCTGTTATGCAATTATTATTTTGTCTTGTCTGAAGGCTTAAGCATGTGTGCTTTGTCACAATAACCTTGAGTTGATATCTAAACTTTTGATATACACCTATGCTGTCGTTTCAACTTTATATTGTCTATGCTTTGCTACTTTGTTTTTCTTGTTTTAGGTTTATTTGTCTAAAGGTCCAGTTCACAGGTTTTCTCACACTCTTGAACCAGAACTACGTCGGCTTGGTCTTCCTGTGAAATTAATTCGAGGTATTGTGCATCTTGAAAAAGACTGCAAAGTTTGTGAATTTGGAAAGCTTCTTACACCTGAGCAATGTAGAATATTGGTAAATGCTAATATTAGTTTTTAATTTTGTAGAAATATTTTGATATACAAATGTCGGAGTTTCGAGTTAACATCCTGGCCTCTTGGTCCCTCGAAAACGGGACTACGGATCTTTCAGAGTCAGATATAAGTGATCAAGTCACGTCTCTGCATCCGGTTATCAAGGTTTCTTGCGAGTGCTTAGATGACAAACAATATCATTTTGTACTTACTCCTATAGAATGCTTACCCGATGATAACGTATTAGTGGATGTTTCTGGTTCTTCAAACAAAATAACTGAAAATAAAAAGACTGATAAGCCATCCTCGAAGGCAGTTGGAATGGAATTTTGATTATTGTCATTGTCACATTCGCCAAATGCATCTTTCCTACCATTTTTAATTATTTTCTGTGATTTTAGGACGTGAACTGGCATTTGTTATTTTCTTAGAATTATTTTGTTTTCTACTTGGTAATGTTCAGAAAAGGCTCCTATTTTTCTTTCTTTTTTTATTTGGGGATGGCCGAGGAAAGTCGCATTAGACTCTATTCTTATTTCATCTCCCTCTGAGCCTTTAGTTAATTTGGGCGCGATGGATCAGTGTTGTTTAATAATTTTATTTATCTTTGATGTCCTTGAGACTCAAAGTAAGAAGGCCGATTTAGTTAGATTTAGTCTATATTAAATTCTGCGCTTGTTTATTTGACTTGGACTTTTTGGGAACTCTGTTGCTGACAATTGCTCTTAATATAATCTTAATAGTCGCCTTGGTTTTAGGCCTTTAAGTGCTGATAAGAGTGGTTTTGATGAAACCATAGTCGGCTTGCTCAGGACCTATTAATCATCTTGGTTTCATTCCTTCCTAGTCTGGGGCTCTCGACGACTTAATCTTATCACTGTGCTTAACGTTCTAGCTGTATCATGAATTTGCTCCGGCGAAATATGATTTCTATATCGCTCTTCTTTTTACATAGCTAATTTCGAGGCAATTGCAATTGTGGTTCTATTTTCTTGTTATCAGGAAAGAATGACTAGCGTGATTTGTCATATCGAAGACATTGAGGATTACAAGGATTTTGCATTTTATCTTTTACTACGAAGAATGGGGACGCTTCCTACCTAAATTTGTAAGGGGCATGAATTGAGCCAGGTATTTTATCTTTAGAGGGGTTCGCAGAGATCAAAATCTTTCGGAAACATGTTGGTAGTTCTTCGCACATGTTTAATTTGATGCCCGGCGCCAATTCACTGGATCTATAAGCGCTCTGATTTGGTATAATCCATCAGTCACAAGGCCACAACAATATTAAATGTAGCTTTGTATCATCGACAGCTGCAATGGACACTCTGTGCACGTCATTGCTTCTCTCAACGCGTCCGTGCTGGGCTGCATTGCTCATGTTTCAGTCCCACGGGACGAAATTTAAACTAGTCCTTTCCAAGCCAGACGACCTTTTGGGAGGTAAAATTCGCTGGGGACGTGAGGCCTATTCGTCTTAAACGTAAGGGGATTAATTTATTGACGTGACTCCAGAAGTTTACTAACAAAAGAAGGCCACTAATTTGGATTCCCCACGATTCTCTGTAGATATATCAATCTAGTACATTGGAACTTTGTGAATATCGTCTAGCGCCTAAATTTTATGTTTATGGGTAGCATCGCGTTCGAATTCCATCAAATCCGACAACCACAAACCCGTGTCATGAGTCCTTAAACAAATAAAGCCAACTTGTAAGCTCCCTTACTGGCATATTCTTAGGCCCCTTGCGTTTTATAGCCAGCACAGCTCAAATTAGGAGAGAAGTTTCCCCTTTTACCATTTTAATGGCTAGGATTGTGTACTTTCCATGTATATCTTAGATCCCTATGGGAGGAACCTACATACGAGACTGCAATGACTCTTCATAATTAAGTTGTCTTAGGCCCAATTACAATTGGGATAGGGTCGATTTTGTGCACATTTACATACTCCTTATTTCCTTAGACTAACTGTTCCAAAGTAATGATTAAACTATCATACACTCACCACTGCGTTCTTAGCCTTAAATCATCACAGTAGAAGTAAGCATGAAAAACTAAATTTATTCATTTTTCCAAAAAAAAATAAGTATACATGTCATTTCGGACGATGAAATCACCGGATTCACAAGAGCATCGCTACAAGATTTGTACACCTTAAGGGAAGTCTGTTTGATATTAGTAAAAATGAATCAGTTATTCGTCTAATCTATGTGCTTTCATCATCAACAATACTCAGGGGAAGAGCGTCCTCGGGATCGAGAGAGGCCAATGAGACCTGTCTACTCAGTCTGGGAGGTAGCGGTTCCTCACTGCATCCATCTCCTCCAGCACCGACGCTCGGTGTGCCCTCGCCTTCAACAGCCATCACGTCCATTTCCTCTTCGGCTAATGCACCTATTGCCTGAACGACAATATTCCCAGTCGTTGTTGGGGTGAGTTGAGCTGGGGAGCCTATTCTGGCGGTTGGAAGGGCCGAGATTAAGGGATTTGCAAGTGTGCACTGTAGGATTCTATCATGCGTCGGCGTCGAGTCATGGGTGTCTGGTAGGCTAGACTGCGTCGAATCTGATTCAGCTGAAAAGAGGTTGGCAGGACGCAATACAGTGGGGATGTTTGTGTTGGAGGTCGAAGCTAAACAGACGAAGTTTGAAAAATAGTTTTAGTTACACTTATTTTTACCTTTAGATGTCCCTCAAAGTATACAGTCAGTCCCTCGCCGTGATATGCGCAATAAAATTTTCCCTTATAATTAATCGGAGACTGGACTT